AGCTATGAAGAACATGCTTGACATTGCGTCAGAAATAGGATATGACAACAGATATGCGGTTGTGACACTTGCAACCGGTGCCACGACCGATTTTAATTTTGTCGCTAATCCGGACGCAGGATTTAAGATAAAGAACCTTCCCTTTATCCCTAGGTCGACCAACACTCAGGCTGCATTGAAAGAAGCGAAAAGGATTTTGAAGGTCCCAATTCAGGTGTGTGCAAATTCATTTGCACCGAAAGCTTTTATTCTTAGCAGAGAACATAAACAATCATAACAGCATTTCTCTAAAACAATCTAAAACCACTGCTCCATATGGTAATGATCCAAAGTTCTGTTAATCATTAAGTTGTAAAATTACCACCAAAACCAAGCCAGCCTCCATTTTAAGCATAAACGGTAATATCTTGAATAAGTCTTTCTCTGATAGAGGATGCGATGTGATCGATCATAAGTTGTGCCGCTATATATTTTAACTATTGGTGCTTTCCATAACAACTCTGAGTCAAAATCAATTATGATGATCTGTGATAAACTAGGTTAACCCTTTACGCCTTCACATTATTCTTTACACTGTTCTCTTTACGCTTTCAATGCCGGGTGCTGACAAGGAGAATTTATTTGAAAATCTGGAGTTTCTGAAATTGGCGATCATTGCTTTTTATCATGACCTTTACATTTGATTTAAGGGTGGTACTCAAAGGAGGAATTAGAATTCATTCACCCTTTGGGGTTAAATGGCTATGATTTTTAGTGAAAAAAATGTTGAAGTACACTCACTGCATATCCTTCTTACTGTATTCATTTGTCCTTTTTCAAAGGGGAAACATCCGGGTGTTAAAAAGATTGCTTTCCTTATCACCGATAGCCTTTCAAATGTTGATCCCTCGAAGACCATGCAAAACGGCTAACTTACTGAAAGCTAGTGGTGTGGAGATTTTTGTCGTTGCTGTTGGAAATTACAATACAGAAATCGTGGAAATAGCTTCACCAGATCGTAAAGACCATGTATTCCGTTTCACCAACACGTCTGGCTTCTTAGATGTTACAAAATTGGCTTTTAAGTCAGTTGCTCTCAAGAAATATGCCGTCCAAGCTCATCATAAGCGGCTTTGTTAAAATTCCTTCGTTAAAAATTATTTTTAGATTGTAGTTTAAGAGGAACAGCAATACAATATAACTTATTTTAGATTGCTTTCCTTGAAGGAAAAATAGATGACTTCATAGATGAGCAAGAAAACAAAAACACGAGAGCAAAGACCGACAGACACATAAGCCTGCTAAAAACCTTTCTCAGCTACAATTGCCACCGTGAATCAGTCGCCAAAATAACCCCACCAAAAAACCAGCTGTAGAAAAGACTCCGTGTCTTGTCCAGCGGTTCTGATGAAGAATGAATAAGAACTAATTATACAAACTATTTTATAAGAACTACAGAATTTTGATTTACGTTACATTTTTTAACTGAGATTTTCGCATTGGTTATTTTTAAAACCGAGGTTGTCTCATTTTCTTCGCAAGTTTTCATACTTCGTAATTGTAAGCGTCTGCAAATTTGCGATGCCATTCATAAATTGAATTTTTAAAATACGAATTCTCTTATTTTCCCTTTTAAAAGTAATGTCTCCCCGTCGGCAGATTAGTGTGAAAAGGATTTGTTGCGGATTTGGTGTTGTTCATAATAAAATTTGCTCTTGCACTTAAATGGCTTTTTCAATTGAAGTGTGTCGGTCAGCAAGAGAAAAATCTCAGTATGTATGAAACATCATACCAAGGGAAGTGCACACAAACGATTTGTTAATAGAAATCGTTCGTACACACTTTCCATGGAATAATCTCAACAG